AAAAAATTTAAAAAATTAAAAAAGTAAAAATGAATTGTCTAAATGAAAAATATATCAGACAGAAAAATCAAATATTCAGTAATATTAAACAAATATTATTGGCAACCACTGTCCTCCAAGCACCGTTTCAGGCACTTGAGTTTTAACAGTGAAAAAAACGATCTCCTATCATGAAGCATAAATTCTGGTGGAAAGGAAAGTTGGCAATCAATATAATGCATACGTTAATTATTTAATATGCTAGGAAGTGAAAAGTGATTTGTAAAATACGAGTAAAAAGAGCAGAGTAAGGAGGATCTGGAAAGTTGGGATGGGGTGGATGTGAACACTGAGATTTTAAATGGGGTGTTCAGGTACAGAACTCATTGAGAAGGTGATATTTCAGAAAAGATTGGATCCAGTCAAGAATATAGAAATAAGATTTTCAGACTGCATGAAGTCAATTCCCCACTCAATATTCTGAATGTCATTAGTTGATTCAAATAAATATTAATCTTACAAAACATGTCCACTTTAAAAGCTGGTTCACAGTTCTTTGACTTTGATTATGAAATGCACATAACCAACTCCCATTTGATTATGTAGAAATAAGTAAATGAGTTTGGAATTTACACTAGGTATTTGGTTTTGTTTTGTTTTGTTTTTTTCTTTTTTATCCAGCCTTTCTTTATTTATTCATTTATTTATTTATTTTCTTCTAGATAAAATAAAGGAATTCATGACGGGATTTGAGAATCACACTTCTGGCAGTGACTTTATTCTCTTGGGACTGTTCTCTTTTTCCCAAACAAGTCTGGTGTTCTTCTCCTTTGTATGTATCATTTTTGTTATGACTATAACAGAAAACACAGCCATGATTCGCCTTATACATAGGGACTTACGACTCCATACTCCTATGTATTTCCGCTCAGCCATCTCTCTTTCATGGATATCTTGCGTATTTTCAACATTGTTCCTAAAGTGGTTGCCGACTTTCTGTAAGGCAAGAGAACAAATTCATTCGCAGGTTGTGGCTTCCAGATATTTCTGTCCCTCACTCTCCTGGGTGGTGAGTGCTTCCTCCTGGCAGTAATGTCCTATGATCTCTACGTAGCCATCTGTCATCCACCGTGCTACCCCATTCTTATGAACGCGCATGCCAGCATTCTCATGGCTGGTGGCTCCTGGCTTGTGGGGACAATCAACTCCACAGTTCACATAGCTTACACCCTCCACTTCTCTTTCTGTGGCTCAAGGGCCATTGATCACTTTTTTTGTGAAGTCCCAGCCATGTTGAAGTTGTCCTGTGTAAACCCATCACACTACGAACGAGGTGTTTATGTAAGTGGTATCATCTTCCTAGTCATAACTTTTTCCATGATCTTTGCTTCTTATGTCCAAGTTCTCCTTACCGTCGTCCAGATGAAATCATTAGAAGCACGGAGAAAGTCATTTTCTACTTGTTCCTTCCACATGATTATGGTCATGATGTACTACGGGCCATTTATTTCCCACCACACTCCAGGCCAGTATAAGTTCTTGGCAGTATTCTATAACATCCTCACGCCTACACTCAACCCTATCATCTACAGCTTTAGAAACAAAGATATTCTGGTAGCAGTGAAAAATATGCTTGAAGGTAACTTTCTGCCTAAAAGATGAATGCAAAATATGCTTGAACTGTATGTTCTCTCTATTTTCATATTCAAATCTGCAGGAGATCCATTATTAGTTTCCTCTGAGAAGAAAATCGGAATTTTACAGATAACTTGACTGAAAAGTTTTGTTGGATTTGTAAATACATATCTGTAACAATGTATTCTTCCCTCCGTGATACTGATTTTAATCAACCAAAGCACTTATAGGAATTAGAAGGTAGGTGAAGATTTCCGACTCTC